CGGAAGCTGCGACTGCCATCAGCCACCAGGTGCGTGTGGGCGGTGAGGGCCCTGGCGACCGCTGCTTCCCCACGGTGGGGTCTGCTCAGCGCTGAGCCATTGTCCGTCCTAGGCCATCCAGATCCTGGGCGGCATGGGCTACGTGTCAGAGATGCCTGCCGAGCGGCACTACCGGGATGCCCGCATCACTGAGATCTACGAGGGCACCAGCGAGATCCAGAGGCTGGTGATCGCCGGGCAGCTGCTCAAGAGCTACCGCGGCTGAGCCTTCTGCAACTGCGCCCTCCCGGAGCCGGAGCCGGAGCCAGAGCTGGAGCTGGAACCGGAGCCTCAACCCTGATGCCTCTTCGGAGACCCTGGGCTGCGGAGCGGGATAGGGCGCCCCCTCTGGCCAGGCCCACTCTTGTCCTATCCTGTGGACTGGCTGCCCGGCTATCTGCCCCCGATCCCACTCAGGTGGGAGTCAGGCTCAGGGAGACAGGAAAGGCAGGGCCTACCGGGCGTGGCTGGTGCCTGAGCACAGCCATCTGCAGCCTGGTCTCTGGGCCTGGCCACCTCCCCAAGACCAACAGCTGTGCCTCATTTTCTGAGGGCTGGGTGACACTATGGTACTCCCCAGCTTTGTACCGGGGGCCCTGGTGCTTGGCGGGACAGACTCTGCAGTTCCTGCTCGGATCCCTGAGGTCAGGGGTCAGGAGGAGCAGTGGGGTGGGGACAGTGACCATCCTGACCAGGCAGGAGTTGTGGGCTCGGCCGGGGAGGCCCAGCCCTGGGAAGGCCTGGGTCTGTGGCCTCTGCCTCGAATGAGTGGGAGCAGGTGGTGAGTCTCGGGCAGGTGGCGGTGGGATTGCCCGCCCCGATGCTCAGGTGTGGGAGTGTGATGGGTAATAAAGCGCCCCGCTCCTGACCGCGTGTGTGTGTGCGGAGGGGAGGCGGGGAGGACGGCGGCCCAGGCGTCGGTCGAGGACAGTAAGGGACTGTCCAGTCGCCCTCGGTGGGTGAGTGGGGCTGCCGGCGACGGGGGGGGGGGGAGGGGAGCGCGCT